ATTGCGAGGAAGTCTCAGGCGGGAGCCCCCTCCATATGGGGCCCGCAGCTTACGTTTTGAATCTGAAGCGGGCCATCGGAATCCTGCAACCGTCGTCACTTTTGGGCTCCTGAGGCCTGAATTTGGACGAAGTATCAGGCGAGAGCCTCGTCTGTGAGTGAGTTGTGAGGACGTCTCAGGCGGGAGCCCCCTCCATCCTATGGGGCCCGCAGCTCACGTTTTTTATCCGAAGGAGGCCATCGGAATCCTGCAACTGTCGTCACTTTGGAGTTCGTGAGGCCTGAATATGGATGAACTATAAAACGAGAGCCTCGCCTGCGAGTGACTTGCGTGGACGTCTCAGGCGGGAGCCCCCTCCCCATGGGGCCCGCAGATCATGTTTTTAATCCGAGGCGGGCCATCGGAATGCCACACCTGAGGCCTGAATATGGAGGAACTATCATGCGAGAGCCTCGTCTGTGAGTGACCTGCGAGGACGTCTCAGGCTGGAGCCCACTCCCTATGGGGCCCGCAACTCATGTTTTTTAATCCGAGGCGGGCCATCGGAATCCTGCAACTGTCATCACTTTTAGGCTGCTAAGGCCTGAAAATGGAGAAAATATTAGGTGGGAGCCTCATCCGTGAGTGATTTGCGAGGAAGTCTCAGGCAGGAGCCCCCTCCCTATGGGGCCCGCACCTCACGCGCTTCCTCCGGGTCGTACTCCAGCGCGCTTTTCTTCTGGGTCGTCCTCCGGCGCGTATCCGCCAGGACGCACGTTGTGCGTTTCCTCTAGGCCGTGTTCCGCACGAGGAGGAGGAGAAAGGAGGAAGAAGGATGCAGGACGAGAAAGAAGAGGAGGAGGAAGAGGAGGAGGCAGAGGGCGAGAAGGACGAGGAGGACACGAAGGAAGAGGAGTGCCCTAGGAGGCCCAACGATGTCCTGGGAGGCCCAGAAGGCTCCAGGAGGCCCCAAGAGGCCCCAAGAGTTCCCAGGACAGGGCAGGAGGCCTCAGGGGGAGGCGGGAGGAGGGGGAGGCGGAGGAGGAGGGGGGGGACGATGGAGACGAGGAGGAGGAGGCGGAGGAGGAAGAGGGAGAGGAGGAAGATGGGGAAGGGAAGAGGAGGAGGAGGAGGAGGAAAAGCAGCAGGAGGAGGAGGACGCAGGATGCAGGAGGCAGGAGGAGCAGGGGGAATGGGTGGAGGAGGCATAACGAGGAGGACGAAAAGGAGGTGGTGGAGGAGGAGGAGGAGGTGGTGGTGGTGGTGGTGGAGGAGGCAAGAGGAGGCAGGGGTTGAGGCAGGAGGAGGAGGAGGAGGCAGGAGGAAAAGGAGGAGGCAGGAGTAGGTGGGAGAAGGGAGGGGGCAGGAGAATCCCCAAGCAAGCTAAACAGATTCTCATGTGGGGTCCTACCGTCCGAGTTGAAAATTTGGGCATTTGTTTCTCTTCGGCCTTCCGACGGCCCGACAAGGCCCGAGAGCTCTCAAAGATCGCCACACAATCGCCCAAGAGGCCTCCAAGATGGCCCCAGAACGGCCCAAGAGGCCTCCAAGACCGCCCCAGGAGAGCCCAAAGACGGCGCAAGAGGCCTCCAAGACGACCAAGATGGCCTCCAAGATGGCCCTGGAATATTCCAAGAAGGCCCCCAGTCGGCACAGAAAGGCCCCCAAGACAGCTTCCGACGGCGTCAGACGGGCCAGGAGCCCACCAAGACGGACAAGATGGCTCTAAGATGGCCCAAGATGGCCCCATAGGCCCTCAGTGAAAATAGCGCTAATCCGATCCAATCAATGATAGAGCGGATGACCAATAATCAACGCTAGAGAAGATGACCTAACGTCAGTGAGATGCAC